CGTTTGAATTTAATTTTATTTTTTATTAAAATAAAATCCAGAATTCAAATTAAATTAGTTTGGATTTTTTGTTCATCCAAACAGGGCCCTTCCCGTTTTACTATCTGTTTGAATTGGTTCAAATCTGTTTGAATTCAAAACCCAACAGGTATGATACCTGTTCAATTCAAAACAATGAGTCACCTTCACATCTATAAATAGGACCACCCTCATTTGGATTTTGTAACTCTAATTTTCGTTCTTCATAATTCTGCAAACTTCCTCTTCATTTTGCTGCATTATTTTCTTGTCAGAGAGAGTATAAACACTTAGTGTGTTCGTTAGGCAAACAATTTGTAGTGCTGCTATTGTTTGTAGTAGATCATTTTATCCTGGGAGATAGACGTCCAAATTCTGAAAGCACCGTGGAGAGGACGAATCTGTCTTAAGGACACAGTGTCAAACACTGGACTTGATCAGAAAATAATTCGAACAAATTAAATCAAGTAAGTTATTTAATTTATTTTCAGTGTTGTTTTTATTTATTAAAATCAGATTTAAATTTTGTTTTTGTAACAAAATAAAATCTGTTTTTATTTATTTATTTTTATTTCGAGTTTGATTTTTGTAATCAAACATATTCTCTCATTTTCTTTATTTCTTTATATTCTTGTTATTATTTTATACACAACAGAATTTAACTTAATTAAATACAGTGAAAATTGCCCGACAGAGAGCACGTTGTCACCGGGATAGTGCTTTGAAGTTGTCTCAACTAGACCAGACTAATCCCTTGCTGCAGTGCGTAACAAACGTTCAACCGAGCAAAGACCAAGACTCTGCCCAAGACTAGCTCGGCTGGCTACCAGGCCATACATTTTCTCAAAAATAACATTGACCATTCCTATGATTGATTATCAATCTTGTAGGGCAAATGGTATATGATTGGTTTCTCAATCTTTGACATGAGGCGTTCAGTTTCTTAATTATCTTTCAACCCAAAATTAAAAATTAAAGCATCAATGCAATTGAAAATTTATATTAAAACAAACGTTATTTCAATATTTCGATTTTTTAGGAATAACCCCAACAAAAAAGAATTATGATTTTTTAATTTGTTTTTATTTTTTAGTTTGTATATTAATCTTGTTCTAACATGAGGGCCGGCCCAACTTGCAATGAGACTTATGGCGAAATCTCACTTAGAGACTTTTGTTTTTTTAATATTTTAGTAATAATTTAAATAACATTTATTAATTTTTTATATTGTGAATTTTTTATGTAAGAACTTCTTTTCTTCTTCAATTATTGTAATTAAAATTTTAAGAGTTTATTTACATGCTTTAATATTGGGGAGTGCACCTTTAGATAATGACTTTTATTTATTTATTTTTGGGCCTTTGAATATGAAGGTTCAAGGCCGAAAACTACCTATCCTGATGCAAGATATTTTCGACTTATACTCTTTCGTTAAGTCTGCATATTGTTGCATTTCCGTTGTCATCAAATTCCATTCATGTGGGGGATTGTTGGAAATGGTAGAAAAATTCTGGGTAAAACCAGAATTTTTTCTCAAGTTTGGTCTATTTTTTAGGTGGGCCCCGAGTGTCGTTTTACTCGGGTCAAAGTGGTAACGCGTTCTATGTCGCGTTGTGATTCACGTGGTATATTTGGTTGCTCAAAACCATTACCGAGTGAATGGGAAATTGAAGCCAAAGTGTGCTCCATGGAAATGGAGTTTTGGTGGAAATTCCTTAAGGTTGTAAATTGGCTTGTCCCCCATTGATTTGGTGGGAAGTTTTGAAAGGGTTTATAAGGCTTAGGGTGAGATACTTGGGGTGTGCCCCAAGGGGTACCCAAGTGTTTTAGAGGGAGAGGTTATGGACAAAATGGGCTAGACCCATTGGACCCAAAAATCACCACACGCGCGCCGCCGTCCGTCCGATCGGTCAGTAGGGCGGGCTGGGCTGGGCCTGGGCTTGGGCGCGAGTGCGTGGTGTGTGGTTGGGTTGGGTTTGTTTGGCCAAATCTTAATCTTTTTGGGTCAAAAACATTTGAATTTAATTTTATTTTTTATTAAACTAAAATCGAGAATTCAAATTAAACTGGTTTGGATTTACTGTTCATCCAAACAGGGCCCTTCCCATTTTCAAACAGAATTAAACTGGTTTGGATTTATTATTCATCCAAACAGAGCCCTTCTCGTTTTTATCTGTTTGAATTATTAACCCAACAGATTCAAAATCTGTTTAAATTCGAAACTAATAGGTTTCATACCTGTTCAATTCAAAACCAAGAGCCACCTTTACATCTATAAATAGACTAGCCTCCTATTTGGATTTAACTCGAATTTTCGTACTCCATCCTCTGTTTTAAATCTCTGCATTTTGTTGCATTTTATTTCTGAAAGAAAGAGTGTAAACACTTTGTGTGTTCGACAAACGATTAAATTGTAGTGCTGCTTTTATTCGTTGATAAGATTATTTTATCCTGAGAGATAGACGTCCAAATTTTGAAAGCACCGTGGAGAGGACGAATCTGTTTTAAGGACACAGTGTTAAACGCTGGACTTGATCAGAAAAGTTATTCAAATAAATTAACCAAGTAAGTTGTTTAATTTTATTCTGTTTTTATTTAATCAAATTTTAATTTTGTTTTTGTAACAAAATAAAATCTGTGGTTTTATTTATTTATTTATTATTTCGAGTTTGATTTTTGTAATCAAACAAATTCTCTCATTTTCTTTATTTCTTTATATTTTGGTTGTTGTTTAGTACACAACAGAATTTAACTTAATTAAATACAGTGAAGATTGTCCAACATAAACAATTTCTGTATTTGAGACTTGACAGGAGGGTCTCAATTTATACATGTATAGGGGAGAGAGGAAGAGCCTCCAGCCTTTATAGCTGGTCACTATTGCACCATTAACTTCTGCAATAAAGGCAGGAGTTACAAACCCCATTAATGCAGGAGTTACAAACCTCATTAATGCTCTATTAAACTCTGCAATAAAGGCAGAAGTTACAAACCTCATTAATACTCTATTAAACTCTGCAATAAAGACAGAAGTTACGAACCCCATTAACTCTTTCATAAAACCAACTTCATGGGGCAATTTCTCATTCAAATCTCAATGGTTTTGGCCATACTATTTGTAGTGTAAAGATCTCATTGCAAAGTATCTACACCCACTTGGACCCAACACAATAGATGATTAGGACCCACTTTAATATTTAATTAAAGTCACCAAAAAATCCTTTTGTCCAACAATAATTTCATTAAAAAAATCCTGAATTTTTCGGGTAATCTTATAATTTAACAGATTTGTAGAAAAATTATAATGTCCTTGCATCATCACAGGGCCTTCTCTTTCTCGATCCCTAGAGTTTATAATTTATTATAGGCGTCATGTTTGATCTGTATCTTCCTGCATCAACATCGTGTTATATAAATGCCTATACATCATTGAGTACATCATTGAGTGCGTCAACATTCTTGTCTTATATATCATTGAGTGCATCAATATTCTTGTCTTGATCTCCCACCACCAAAACAAAAGGCGTCACTAGTGAGACACAGATCATGGATTCAAAACAGAGCAAAATGAACATTCTAATGCTACCATTTTTGGCCCATGGTCACATCACTCCCTTCCTAGAACTTGCCAAGAAACTCTCACGCAAAAACTTTCACATATATTTCTGTTCTACACCAATCAATCTCAAATCCATCAAAAAGAGGATCACTGAGATGTACTCTCTCTCCATTGAACTTGTAGAAATCCACCTTCCATCCTTGCCTGAGCTTCCTCCTCACTACCACACCACCAATGGCCTCCCATTCCATCTCAATTCCACCCTCCAAAAAGCCTTTGAAATGGCCAGCCCAAACTTCTCCAACATCCTCAAAACACTAAGCCCAGACCTTGTTATTTATGACTTCCTCCCATCATGGGCACAACCCATTGCCTCGACCTATAATATTTCGGCAGTTCAGCTCATGACTTCCGGAGCTATGATTGTTTCTTTTTGCCATCATATGATTAAGCACCCTGGTGTTGAATTCCCATTTCCAGCAATTCAGCTTCAAGAATTCCATGATAAGCGGTTTCGCCGTACGATCGAGAAATTTTCAAAAGCATCCAAAGAAAAGCAAGTCACCGCTGTAAATAATGATCAACCACCACCTTGCAACTTTGAGTTGTTCAACACTTTTAGAGAGCTTGAAGGAAAATACATCGATTACCAGTCGGTTATAGGTGAAAAAAGGGTTGTCCCCGTTGGTCCACTTGTTCAAGGCGTTGTCGATGATGAAAATGAGCACTCTGAGATCATACAATGGCTTGACAACAAGGGTGAGTCCTCCACTGTTTTTGTTTCCTTTGGTAGCGAGTATTTCATGTCCAAGGAAGAGATTGAGGAGATAGCTCATGGTCTAGAGCTTAGCAACGTTAATTTCATATGGGTTGTCAGGTTTCCTATGGGAGAGAAAGTTGAGGTTGAAGAAACACTGCCAAAGGGGTTTATTGACAGAGTAGGAGAGAGAGGATTGGTTGTGGAGGGTTGGGCTCCACAGGCAAGAATTCTAGCCCATTCAAGCACTGGTGGCTTTGTGAGTCACTGTGGATGGAATTCAACATTGGAAAGCCTATTTTATGGGGTTCCAATTGTAGCCATACCCATGAATTTGGAGCAGCCATTGAATGCTAAACTGGTGGAAGAGTTTGGTGTGGCTGTTGAGGTCAACAGAGACATCAATGGAAGACTCAACAGAGAAGAGATAGCACAGGTAATAAGGAAGGTTGTGGTGGAGAAAAGCGGAGAGGACATAAGGATTAAAGCGAAAAATTTTGGGGAGAAGACAAGAATGAAAGGAGACGAAGAGATAGACAAAGCAGTAGAAGTGTTGCTGCAGCTTTGCAAGGAAAGCAAGTTGCTTCAAAATTAGTATAGCAACTTTATTGAAATATTTGGGTGATTAGAAGATATCCTTTTGTTGTGATTTGTTTCTTGCTGTATTAATTCTTATTTTCATATGTATTCAAACTCAGCCTTGATTCGGTTGTATACGACGAGGAGTTAAAAGATCAATACAATATTGTTTTTCTTCATGCGGCTTGTATTGGAATTTGTTGCTCTTTTTTGTCCTTTTCAATTGGCTGTTTTTGCCAAATACTACTAGACACAAGTACAGTTGTTCGAGAACAAAAAGTCTATCCACCTAGACAAATTGTCTCAAATTTCACATATAATGTGGACGTTTGCTCTCCTGGTGGGGCCAGGCCATGAATGATTCTTGGCCTTGGATTTCATATTCTGGGTATTTTAATTTTTGGTATTTTTTTTCTTGATAGATAGATGAGCTGGCTTGAGAAAGTCTGGTGATGACGAAAAGTTTTCACAACTTTTTTTTTTTGAGTACTAAATTTGTGCTATAGTGACAAATTTCTTTGTTAATACTTCGTGGTCTGTGGAAGAGTTGATGGTTGCTTTTTTAACAGGAGAAATATATCTGTCAATGATGCTTTGGTTTGCCAAGGCTTGCTTTTTGTTCTTCTGTGCCCAAACTGTCCCCCATTTGTCTGAAGAAAACTGCTGTCAATTGTCTTCCATCTCTAGCTAATGTATTTAGAACAAATTATAAAATACCCTTACGATATGTTTAAAAGATGAATTATTTCTTGAATTGTTATAATTCTAGAAATTTTAAATAATTATTTTCTCAGAATTTTAAATTATTATCTTCTATGTAATAATAAAATTATTAAAATTGTTAATATAAATATATTTATGAGATTATTAAAAGTTTTAATTGACTTGACGATTTTAAATAAAATGAATTATTTATTATGCGATTAGAAATTGAAAGGGCATAATGTAATTTTTAAAACCACAATAAGCCATTGATTTTTTAAACAAATCTCAAAGAGTGTGATTGTAATTTATCCGTGTACTTATCTATTTAATATAAATAAGGGATATTTTATGATGAACGTGAGATGAAAGGAGTAATTTGCTGTTACTGATAAATATGAAATGATATCTTATAGGTCATTTGATACAAATTATGATATTTATGGTGTTAATTATCACAAATGTTGTAATTAAATATTTTTTAGTCATAATTAAAATAATAAAAAAAACATCATAACTAAGGGTCTATTTTGTAACCATTTTGAAGATTATCTAAAGATTTTTTTTTTATTATTACCAAAATTATAATCACAATAAGTTATAACTAACCTCACAACATAATCAAGTCATAATTAATAACATAATAGGTTATAACAAAAAATCACAAACAGTACAATTGGGGCATGGTACACATTCCCATTTGACCACAAATATCACACGTCCCAAAATGGGATGTGTATTATAGAATTTTTTGATATGTTATTACAGTATTAATTTGTAATATTATATATATAATTCATATTTTAAATAAATCTTATGGGTGTATTTGTAATTTGCTAAAAGATAAAAGATTTATGTTTCATAATTGACCAAGAAAATTTGCGTAATTATGAAGAAAAAAAATTCACTCAAATTAGTGCCAACAATATTGTGATATATAGGTCACCATTAATAAATTATACAAAATAAAAGGACAAAATAGGAAAAAATAAAAATAAAAAAAGCCACAAGCAGGAAAGGAGAGGCTTTAAATGGATCTTAAGAATTATCAAAGTAAAAAATATTTGTTTTTTCAAAACTAACTTTGAGTAATTATAAATATATTAAAAAATTGAAAAGATAGGGGCAATAATAAAAAAATATTTTAAAATTAAAATTTAAATTTAGAATCTCCAAAAGAGACTAATAAATTGAGACAGAGGGAGTTTATATCAAGGATTCAAGGCAATTAGAAGCAGCACAAAGACTTTGTTTACTTCTCTCAACCAATGTCATTAAGGCCAAGTTAGGTTGATGGATTTGGAAAGCAAAAAGGGAAGGTGTATGAAATTATATTTTATTTATATTTCACTTATATTTATTTTCTTTTTAAATTTCTATTCAAATTTATGAACCAAACAGTATAACAAGGTGCTGGAAATAAAAAGCCTCTTGCTAATTGTTTTATGGTCTATAAACAGAAAACGAATAAATTTATTTGCTTACTTTAGTCGACCGCATGAACATAAGGATCAAATTCAAAAAGTTAAGATTTGAATTAAAAAGAGAATGCCAACTTTTTATTTTTACTTTTTTTACTATTATTTTAAAGAGGCAACTCGGCGCTATTTGGACTCATGGGACTCATCACGGGTCTTATTTCGATGATCTAAACTGTTCATTTTGTTGAATGCTTCGTGTATTTCACTTGAAAAAAAATTAGGTCGATCCGAGTCTATTTTTTTAGTGACAAATACAATTGAATAAGTGAAGATTATTAAATAGACGTAATTTTTTGTGTATATAAAATATACAAAGTTAGTGACGTAATGAATAATTCAAATTATTGAAATATGACCTGTGTTAGGTCCTACAGGCTCAAAGAATGCCCTCCGGTCCATATTTTGTGGTCTCATTTGAAGCGTTGATGTCCTCTAATAATAATAAAAGGGATGGGCTTCCTTCCAGTATGTGATTGGATTAGAGAGTACTGTTGCACCTATGGGGGGTCCACTACGGATTCCGTTTCGATAATTTGAATCGTTTAATGTGTAGAACTCGTCGAGTATTATATTCCTGCAAAAAAATCACGTTAATCAGATATCGATAGCTATCTCATCGCGTCGGACTTTTGTCAACTATTTATTTTTTCACTTCTATTTTTTTTATTCAAAACTGATTTAATCACGTAGCTATCAATATCCGATCAACGTGATTTTTTACAAACATATATTACACGATGACTTTTACACATTGACAATTCAGATTATCGAAACGAAACCCGTGATAGACCCCCACGGGTCCAACAGTATCTCGGACTGAAAGGAAGCCAGCCCCATAAGAGCATCTCTAAGCCGCTAGGTATATAATGCTTGTTAGTCAAAATGCCTAATGTAACTCATTTTTTTTCAACTCCAATGTACTAGGCATATGATTAGGCATTTTAGCTCAACTCACATTCACTAGTTACATGTAGCTAGCCTTCAAGGCTAGGAAAAATTTATTTAATCATTAGAATCATTTCCCTCCATCTTTGTTTCTGATGTGACATTTTATAAAATTAATAGTATTTAGATGAATAGCTAAAATAAATAGTATAGTTGGCGTAGAAACACGAAATAGTTGATAGGCAAAATAAAATATATACATTATAGTAATATTTAGATAGGTAAAATGCCTATTACCGTTGGAGATGCTTTAATAAAATACATACTATGAAGCAACAAATTTGTGATGCACATAACTTCCAACACGTAATAGGCAAAATATCAATCAGGTGGAGCGCTGTCAAAGAATTAAGCAAACACAACAAGAAACTGTTAAAGAAGAGAAAAACTAGGGATCATGAAAAAACTTTCATGAAAATGATTATAAAAAATTTATGACCCTTAGATTACCTTGATTAGTGTGTGGTGCTTTATTTTAAGTGTAATCCAAAGGTCATGAATCTTTCATAATTATTTTCATGAAAGTTTTTTCATGATACCTAGCATTGCTCGTCAAAGAATTACGCAAATGCAGCCTACGAGCTGTAGCCCTTTTTTCTACAGCACATACGTTGTCAATAAACATTACATAAAATCAAAATACAGCATGTTATATAAATGCATATATACCATTGAGTGCATCAACTTCATTGTATTGATCAGCAATTCACAATAACAGAGGGAGAGAGAGAGAGAGAGAGAGAGAGAGAGAGAGAGAGAGAGAGATGATAGATACAAAACAAAGTAAAACCAATGTCCTAATGTTACCATGGTTGGCCCATGGTCATATCTCTCCCTTCCTAGAGCTAGCCAAGAAACTTTTAGAGAGAAACTTTCACATATTTCTGTGTTCAACACCAATCAATCTAAAATCCATCAAGAAAAGAATCACAGACAAGTACTCTCTCTCCATTGAACTTGTAGAAATCCACCTTCCATCGTTGCCTGAGCTCCCTCCTCATTACCACACCACCAATGGCCTCCCAATCCATCTCAATTCCACCCTCAGAACAACATTTGAGATGGCAAGCACAAGCTTCTCCACCATCCTCAACACACTAAGCCCAGATCTTGTAATTTATGACGTCGGCCCCCCATGGGCACAATCCACTGCCTTGTCGTTTAATATTCCTGCGGTCCAGCTCATGACTACCGGAGCCACGGTGGTTTCTTTTGTCCAACATATAATTAAGCACCATGGCAGTGTTGAATTCCCGTTTCCCGGCAATTAAGCTTAAGGGATTCCATGAAACACAGTTTCACCATTTTGTTGAGACTGTTGTAAAAGAATAAAATGACAAACTAGTTGCCCTTGTAAATAAGGGTCAACCACCTTGCAACTTTATGTTGTACAACACTTGTAGAGAGCTTGAAGGTAAATACATCGATTATCTACCGGTTATAGGTGAGAAGAAGGTTGTCCCTGTTGGTCCACTTGTTCAAGGCATTGTTGATGATGAAAATGAGCACTCTGAGATCATACAATGGCTTGACAACAAGGGTGAGTACTCCACTTTGTTTGTTTCTTTTGGGAGTGAGTATTTTGTGTCTAAGGAAGAGATTGAAGAGATAGCTCATGGGTTAGAGCTTAGCATGGTTAATTTCATATGGGTTGTTAGGTTTCCTAATGGAGAGAAAGTTGAGCTTGAAGAAGCACTTCCTAAGGGGTTTGTTGATAGGCTAGGAGAGAGAGGACTGGTTGTGGATGGTTGGGCTCCACAGGCAAGAATTCTAACCCATTCAAGCATTGGTGGATTTGTGAGTCACTGTGGATGGAATTCAGTATTGGAAGGCCTAAAGTTTGGGGTTCCAATTGTAGCCATACCCATGCAGTGGAGGAGGTTGGTGTGGCTGTGGAGGTCAACAGAGACATCAATGGAAGACTCAACAGAGACGAGATAGCATAGGTAATAAGGAAGGTTGTGGTGGAGAAAAGCGGAGAGGACATAAGGATTAAAGCGAAAAATTTTGGAGAGAAGATAAGAATGAAAGGAGATGAAGAGATAGACGAG